GGCCCGCGTACCCAAAAAAAAAAAAAAAAAAGAATACATGTAAAATGCTTAGCACGTGAGGGCACAAGTATTGGTTCCCTTTCCTCTTGTTTTCTGGAGGATTTTTACTTCCTCTATCAAGTAAAGCAATCCTTTAAAGCACTTCTGATGGAGCAAGACAGACTGCCTGAACTACAGTTGATTGGCAGTTGTCTATTGGTGAAGGGCTCTTCCTAATGAAATTCTCAAGATTTTTTTTTTTTTCCTGTTAAAATAGCTTCCATCAGTTTCTAGCTTTAAATTCTCCATTTGCTTATCCTTCAAATTCTAGTGGAAAAAGCTAAAGTGGGATAAAAGTAGGAACTCTGTGGTGAGTAGAATCTTAAAACTGAAACCAACGTTTGTACCTGATAGTGGAATTCCCCTGAAGTTCTATAAAAATGTGCATAAAGTCAGGAAAAACCAGCTGTATGTGGCTGAGCAAGTTACACACTGTGCCACCAAACTGAGGAGTAGTGAATTGGAAATTTTTCTCCAGCCTGCAGGATTCAAGATGGGTCAGGGCCTAGCTTTTCCAAGATCACTCTCTGCAAGGAGAGGCCGTGGGCTTCCCCCATGCCCCAAGAAATGACATTTCAAGCCAAAGAACGAAAGTGACATTTGACTTCTGAATGTGTTGCCAGACCCCACTTTGACTTTTGGTTCGCTATACTGTGTTTATAGAGGATTTTGGTCTGACATGTCATCTCTTTTGATAAGAAAGACAAATGGCAATCATAACTGGAGAATATTAACCCAATAATTACATTAAACATCTCTGGAAATTTCTAAACTGATGCTAAACATTATGAATCACACTAGGTTCAAACTACCAATTCTGCTACTAGTGGCAAACTTCAGTGGATCTTGCAAAGTTAGAGGAAATAGAAAGATAAAATCCACTTGACTAAGAGGATAAAGGCTGAAAGTCAGGTTTCGGAGACAGTATTTCCAGCCCCTCCAGGCCTTCTCAGTCAGTACCTCAAAGTTTAATGCCCCTTTGAAAATGCTGCCAGGGAGAGGCAGGCCTAACTTGTTCTGTTACTGAACAGGTCTGTTCCCAGTTACAGTACCATGATTATGCGAATAATCTGTTCTTGAAACTCTGAAATCATGTGCTTAAATATAAAAAAATATAAGTAAATAGAAAATTGCCAAGATCGCAGTTTTCACAGAATTTGAGAAGTAACTGTCTAATCGATATTTCACTTAAGTCTTTATAATTTGTGTTCCCTTTCTTACTTCTCTCAATTCCAAGCTAATGACTGACACAATATAGTTCTCAAATACCTGAAGAAGCTATTCCTCATAAACGTCTGGACAGATGCCATTGGTATGTGACCCTGTGAAGGTCACATAATAATTCCCAAGTGAAAAGAAGCAAGGTAGAAGAGGCCAGCTTTGAGCCCTCGTAAAACTGTTCTCCAGAGACTAAAAGACAAACGTCTTCTACTTTATAAACTAGTTATTATAATATTAAATAAAATTTATATTCTTCCTGATCAATCCGTTTTTAGAAGCCTATTATATTCAAATTTAAAACCAGAGATTCTCAAAAATGGTACCTCACTGTAAAAAGTCAACTATAATAATACTCCAACACTGTAAATTGCCTTTAAAAATGAAACTGGGGCTTCCCTGGTGGCGCAGTGGTTGAGAGTCCGCCTGCCGATGCAGGGGATGCGGGTTCGTGCCCTGGTCCGGGAAGATCCCACATGCCACGGAGAGGCTGGGCCCGTGAGCCATGGCCGCTGAGCCTGCGCGTCTGGAGCCTGTGCTCCGCAGCAGGAGAGGCCACAGCAGTGAGAGGCCCGCATACCGCAAAAAAAAAAAGAAAAAAAGAAACTGCACTTGAAAATCCCCATTTCTTTTAACAGTTAGTTTCATACTGAAGTGAGAATCAGCTAACTGCCTTTGGTAACAACAATTTTACATTTCTTCTATGTTCTTTCATACTGCTGATTGTTAAAATACTTTCTGAAAATTTCCCTTGCATTTCACTTGATAACACACTGGTTACTCAAGATTCTGGGATTTTATTTTTTGAAAATTTAAAATTATAAGAATTAAAAATAATAATAATGAAATTATAAGCATTAGAAAGCCATGTACGGTATAGTGCAAGAAGCGCAGACCCTGTTCTGAAGCAGATGAGGCTCCAGTGCTGGTTCTAAAGATGCTTGCCAAAAATTACCCAACTCATTGTGTGATCTTGAGCAAATCACCTGAGTTCCTTGGATTTGTTTTCACATCTGTTAAATAAGATGGAAGGCTCTGTTGATTATCTAAGGACCCTTCCAGCCTCATATGAAATGAAATTTTTGAAACAATTGCAGGACAGGGATTAAGTGCTGGGCTTTATGGGAGAGGCCTGAATGAGAGTCATTTATAAATGATCAGACCACCCTGAATAAATTAAGTTATCTAACCAAGTCTTATCTTTAAAAAAGGAACAAAAATATAGATCTTATAAAGATTTTGGTCTTAAATTATAAAATGTACATATAAAGAACTTAGCAGAATATTTGGCAAACTTAATTGCTCAATAAATAGATTAACTATTATCTCCTTTGTGGATTTCCAAAACAATAAAGTTTCTTCTTCTCAGTTTCCTGTAAGATGGGGTAGTAAGATCAGATGAGAATTCTGTTCAAAGAAGTAAGGTTGCATATTCACAATAGATGGCTAAGGATATGAGGTTGGAGAAAGAAGTAAACCACCAAATAGTAAACATTGCCTTTCTAACTTCTCGGCTACACCTCAGTACCCTGTTTTTGTTCTTGCAGAGGGTGTGGCAGAACCTGTACTGGTTTTTGTCTCAAGGGAAGAATTCATAGATTCATGACTTTTACTACTATGATTGCACAGCTAAAAGATCTAGGACCCTCCCTCCTCTATTCTGTACTTTCCCAACTGATGCTTTCTAACCTGAGTGCAGCACTTTAGCTCCATTTAAATATATCATGTTAATTTCAGTTTCTAGGTCCAGTTAAAAACGAAGAATCTGATTCTGTCATAAAACACATTAGTACACTGATAGTCACTCAGTATTGGGATTCCTGGTGGTTTTTATTTTCTCCTCTTTTGCTTAAATGATTGCAAAGAGCATGCATTATTTGTGTGGCAAGAAAAACAAAACAAAAAACAAAAACAACCAAAAAAACTAAAAAAACTAAAAACTAAATAAACCTATAGCTAGTCTGTCGGCAATTTTAATAAGCACGTTCCTCTGCAGCTCCTTGATAAAAAATAGTGAGTTGAAGGCAACCAGCTACTGAATCCTTCCCTTAAAGATCTCCTTACATAAATTAAAAAAAAATAGTAAATAATAAAGAAAAAAAGGTCTCCCTACAAATTCCAAAGATAAGAGGCAAAGGGTTTCCACACAGAATTAAAAGATTCATACTTTAGTGGTCGGATTAACTAGAATGACGCAATATAACATAGTATTTAGTAGTTTCCACGTGATTACCAGTTCAACCTGGAACAAATGACTTAATTTCTTAGAGCTTCGGTTTGCTTACCGGTAAAGGGGGCTAATGCTTATACCTACCTCCTATCTCATCAGATTGTTCCAAGGATTAAACGCAAAAATGCACACAAAAGGTCTAACGAAGTGCCTGATAAGGGCTCAATAAATTCCTATCACTACGACCACTTCGTCAAAAATTTCAGTGTGAAAAGCCTCAAAAAAAACCAGAGGACTAAAGACAAGCCACGAGCTTGGCATTTTCCACCGAGTCAACGCTGCTCGGGAAATCAGTCCCATCAACGGCCAGGCACCCTGGAGGTACCCCCACCCTTTGGAAAGCGGGGTGACTCGGTGGGCCGGGTCGCGCAGACCCAAGGTCGCTTTCCAAGCTCCGCCGGGCTGAGGCGACAACCGGGCTGGTCCTGCCCAGCGACTGCTGCCATGGCAACCGCCACAGGGTCCCCACTGGAGGCGCCACCTCTTCTGGCTAAACCTAAAGTCCTCACAGCGGAAGCCAACTGAACGGCCTCGAAGTGGCCAGCTTAGGCCTCTCGGCGACTTCCCGGGGCTCACACTCCAGGAAAAAAGCCACAGTCCCCTCGCCGCTGGCCGCGGAGCCCCCGACCCCCCTTCCAGGCCCTTCCGGCCGCCGCCCTTTAACCCCCGGAAGTGGGCGGGAGAGGAAGCGGCTGGTGATGCTGGAACAAATATGGCCGCCCCGGCGCCCGTCGGCTCTTCGGGCTCCCGCAGTCCTCGGCTGGCCGCCGGCCTTCGGCTGTTTCCACTACTGGGGCTGCTGCAGCTGCTGGTCGAGCCTGGCCTGGGCCGCGTCCACCACCTGGCGCTCAAGGTAAGGCCGGCCGGGGCCGGGTAGGAGCGGGCCGGGTGCCGGAGGCCGCGGCCGCTCCCGGGAGCTGGGGGCAACTTTGGCCCAGAGGAGGGGGGGGGTTGTCTGTGAGCGTTTGGGTTCCCGCCCTTTTTCCCGGGCGCGGCCTCTCTCCGAGAGGTTTCTGTTGGGAACTGTGGTGATGGCGGGAGTCCTCGGTCTGTCTGGAAAGGGCAGGAAGATTCGAGCTGAGAGAGGGGAAGGGGCTGAACTGCGGCGTAACCCCGAAGGACTCCGGAGGCCGCGCTTGCAGTCCCTGTTGGTTTCCCTAGCTTCCTTGCCGACAGCAACCTGCTTTTCCTCCTCCCTTCTCACCTCCAACTTTTATGCCCCACTTCGCTTGTCCGCGGTCTCCACTTGTCCATGCCCTTGTACTTGGCAGAACCTTTGCCTCAATTTCCCGGTTCGGCTTCGGGCGCACTCTGGACTGATCAAAGCGGGAATCTCCAGGAGGAATTTCAAATCTCGCTTGAAATACGTGACCGGAAATTTAGACCCAACATTTAAAATATGTTTCTAATTAGAGGGCCTGCCTTTTTATCTCTCGCTCCTGTCATTGTCTGTCTAGGGAAGGGATTTATGATAGGCCTAGAATGATCCCTTGGATCTTGCTTTATAACTCAAAACATGCCTCCAGGCGATTCAGCAGGTTAATATATCTGGAAAGTAGAAAACTAAATCGTTATGACTCAAAGCTTTGTGCATTGTTTTTATAATATACAATTTTCTTAGAAGTGTGGGATTGTAGAAAGTTTGCCTTATTAAAACAGTACTTTAACAAAGCATTGTATTTTGTGAATGTATAGTTTAAAGAATACAGAATCTGGATTAAAAAACCTGGCCAGACCCATACTCCATACCTTGGTTACCAGTTGTTCGTAAATAAAATGTATCCTGATTAAAATGGTTCCCAACCGCAGGAAGCCAAGTGAGTCTTGGCTCCTTTTGAGAATCTGCTGAAAGGTATTGAATCTCTCCCCAGAAAATGCAGGTAGAAATGTAGGCAAAACTTTCTTGGAATTTCTAGGGCTTTATAATCCTGCGGAAGCTTATCCATAGGCCCTAGTCCCCAGGTTTACGACTCCAAGAGGTGAGCTCCTAAAATTCTTTTACTTTATAGTTTGGGATCATGAGTCTTAGATGAAGTCATGCAACTGAGCTTATGTAGTTTATAAATTAGAGACAAAGCTAATACTAGGACACACTGGATCATGTCTCTTGGGTTTGGGCATTTCTTTTTTTTTTTTTTTTTTTTTTTTTTTTTTTTTTGCGGTACCGTTGTGGAGCACAGGCTCCGGACGCCCAGGCTCAGCGGCCATGGCTCACGGGCCCAGCCGCTCTGAGGCATGTGGGATCCTCCCGGATCGGGGCACGAACCCGTGTCCCCTGCATCGGCAGGCGGACTCTCAACCACTGCGCCACCAGGGAAGCCCCTGGGCATTTCTAAAATTAAAGTGTCGGATGGCCAGCATCAGTAGGTAAATAAATACTGACCATATTGGTATAGAGGAAAAAGTATACTATCCTCAGTGGTAGCAGCAACCCGAGTTGGTGTAATTCTGGTGATTGATTTCTCCATATTGTGCTAAATTAATTAATACTTTTCATCTTTGTAATTGTTTCTCAAGTACTGTGGTGCCCTTTCCATAGTCAGTGCTGTAGTTGCTCCTTTTCTCTTAAAGTAAACAGTATGGCGTTTTGCCCAAGGAAATGGAAATCACCTGAAGAGAGCCTGTCAGAGCAGCAACACTAGATTATCTTCTTTTGCTTGAGACCGAGAGAAATAGGAGAATTTCAACCATACACCAAATAGACAGAACAGTATAGTGAACTCCCATGTAGCTGTCCCCCAGCCTCAGTAACCATTAACCACTGGCTAATTCTGCCCCTTCCCCACACAAATCACTTCTCAGTTGCATTCTTTATTTTTTAATTAGAAACAAGTCTTTTCATTTTTTATTCAGTTTTCTCATCACATGCTACATTTTCCATCATTCTTCTGGTTTTCTCAGTCTTCTCAAATTTCTTCTCTTCTGTTCTTTCTTTAGAGTCCTTAACTTTTTGAAACAACTTTATTGAGGCATAGTTTATATACATTAAAATTCACCCATTTTAAGTGTACAATTCAGTGATTTGTTAGTAAATTTACTGAGTTGTGCATCTATCAACACTGTTCAGCCATAGAACATTTCCATCACCTCTGTAAGATCACTTATGTTGGTTTACAGTTAATTCCTACTCACCTCCAGCCCCAGACAACCACTAATCTACTTTCTGTCTCCGTAGATTTGCCCTTTCTGGATATTTCATGTAAATGGAATCACCCAGCATGTGATCTTTTGTGTGTGGCTCCTTTTATTTATGTTGTTGAGGTTCATACATGTTGTACTGTGTATTAGTAATTCGTTCCTTTCAATGGCTGACTACTATTCCATTGTATGCATATACAACCTTATGCTCAGCCATTCACCAGTGATGGACATTTGGGTTTCCTTTTTTGGCTATTGTGAATAATATTGCTGCAAACATTCACATGCAGGTCTTTGTGGGGACATATGTTTTCATTTTGCGGGATGATAGCTAGGAGTGGAGTAGAATTGCTGGATCATATGGAAGATATGTATTTAACTTCTAAAGAAACTGCCAAAGCACTTTCAAAGTGACTATACCATTTTACAGTCCCACCAGAAATCTGTGAGGGTTCTCCTTTCTACATATTGTGCCAACATTAGTACTTCTTATGTTATTTTAGAGTGAATCAAAGTCATCATGTTGTTTGATCCATAAATATTTCAGTATGTACCTATAAGAAACAGGGACCCTTTCAAAAACAACTACAATGCCATTATAACAAAGAAAAAAGTTAATCTTTAATATCATGAAATACCAAATCAGGTTCAAATTTCCATTGGTTATAAATGGATTTAAACTTTTTAAAAATCAGAATCTAAATATTGTCCTTACATTATGATTGGTTAATATGTCTCTTCCTTTTTTTTTTTCTTTTGCGGTACGCGGGCCCCTCACTGCTGTGGCCTCTCCAATTGCAGAGCACAGGCTCTGGACGCGCAGGCTCAGCGGCCATGGCTCCCCGGCCCAGCCGCTCCGTGGCATGTGGGATCCTCCCGGACTGGGGCACGAACCCGTGTCCCCTGCATCAGCAGGCAGACTCTCAACCACTGCGCCACCAGGGGAGCCCAATATGTCTCTTAAGTCTCTCTTGATCTAGGGGATCTCATTCCTCCAAGCACCCCCATACTGGATTTTGCTGATTATTTCCTTGTGGTGTAATTTAGTATGTTGATCTATCCTTCATCCTATGTGGCCTGGATATGCTGGATCGTGTGTGTGTGTGTGTGTGTGTGTGTGTGTGTGTGTGTGTGTGTGTGTTTAAGAAAAGCTAGAAATTCAGGCTTTTATGTGAAATTAGCTAGCAACTAACTCAAATTTAAAAATGAAAAGAAAACACGGTGTTGGCCAAGTATAACACATTTGTGGGCCAGTCTAGTCAGCGGACTGCCAGTTGGAGAGCTGTTGAAAATATACAAGTGGCTAGGTAAGTGGCCATCAGCTAGCTCAGTTAAATGTTACTGTATTTATTTTCTAAATTCAGTTTGTGAGAAAAACGAAATTGAAATATCGTTACTCCACTTGCTTTATATTTGAAAACAGTGTAAAATATGAAGTTATTGAGGAACATAAAACACTTTTGTGTTCTAATATTTAGTGAAAAGAGCAGAATTGTATTCTAGTATTTAGTGAAAAGTTTAAAACAACTTTTTAAAAAAAGGAGAAAATACAGCAAAATGGTAGTTGTCTTTAGGAATTATGGGAATTTTTTTTCTTATTTCATCTCCAGATCTGACCTTTCTTCTGAGCTCCGGACAAGTATATCGGATTTCTTAACCCCTGTTTCCACTCAGATGGCTCATAAGCACCTCTGTATGTTAGAAACCAACCTGTCCTTCCACTCCCTTCACCCTCAACCTATATGTACTCCTTCTCTAGTTTTTCTTTTCTTAGTATCTGGGACCACCAGCTGCTCATTTTCTCAAGTCAGAAATCTTTTATTCTTATCTTCTCATCATCAGGTTCCATAGATGTGTGTTCTAAATAAATAGACTCCAATCCATTCACTGCTCTCTGTCATCACCACTGTGACTGTTGGGTCTAGGCCATCCTTATATCTCTTGGACCAGGGCGGTCTTCTCATACCTGGTGTCCTAGCATTACTCCAGTTTGTATTTTGTTTTGTAGCTGGAATGATCTTCCTAAAAGCCAAAGCCAGTCGTGTCACTCCCCTTTTCAGCCCATCAGTGGCACCCTGTTCCCCTTAGGGGGAACTCACAACTCTTAGACTGCCAGTCTTTCTGTTAGCTAGCCTCCTCTCTAGTCTCATTGCCCTTCCTTTCTTTAGTTTCTTAGTTCATGTGTGTTCAGCTTGGTGAATTTTTTTTTTCCCCCGGTACGCGGGCCTCTCACTGTTGTTATTTTAGAGTGAATCAAAGTCATCATGTTGTTTGATCCATAAATATTTCATTATGTACCTATAAGAAACAGGGACTCTTTCAAAAACATAATACAATGCTATTATAACAAAGAAAAAAATTAATCTTTAATATCATGAAATACCAAATCAGATTCAAATTTCCATTGGTCATAAATTGATTTAAACTTTTGAAAAATCAGAGTGGGGGCTACTCTTCATTGTGGTGCGCGGGCTTCTCATTGCGGTGGCTCCTCTTGTTGCAGAGCACAGGCTCTAGGCGCGCGGGCTTCAGTAGTTGTGGCACGCGGGCTCTAGAGCGCAGGCTCAGTAGTTGTGGCACATGGGCTTAGTTGCACGTGGGATCTCCCCGGACCAGGGCTCAACCCTTGTCCCCTCCACTGGCAGGCGGATTCTTAACCACTGTGCCACCAGGGAAGCCCGGACATATGATAGTTTTAAAAAAGCATTTCACAGA